AGTCGAAGCACGTAATAATTACGTTCTCCTTAAGACGAAATTGCCCCGTAAAATACCCACGGTTAATGGCAAACGCCTCCACGAATTTTTATATACAAGATTTCAGCGAACACTACTATTGTCTGGAACTCTCAAGATAGAAAGGAACACAAAGAACACAAGATGTTTATGAATTTTGTAAAAGGATGCAAAAAAAATATATATATATATATATTTTTTTATTTTTTATTTTTTATTTATGCGCCCGATTGTGGGGGACTTGAAAATGCCGACCGGCGATCGTGGTCGCTTTACGCGCAGAAGGCCGTAGATTGCAGCCGCATCTCGCGCGGGCGGACTTGCTCCACGCGGTGGTCCCGTCTTTGGCCGCGAAGGGCGGTCGTCTCGGCGGCCGTTTTTTTTTTATTTTTTTTAACTAAAAAACTTTAAATTATAAAATATACTTAAATAATTTCATATATATTAATATATTTTTTATAAATTTAAAAAATAAATAATTAAAATATTTAATATATTTTTTTCGTGTTTTTTTATAATTTTTTTGCACTTTTAACTTTTTATTTAATTAAAAAATGTATATATATTAAAAATATGTTTAATTGATTTCTTATATATTATTATATATTTTATAATAAAAAAACTAATAAGTTGAAATATATTTTAATATATATTTTATCAATAATGAAAAAAAACTTGATAATTAATATATATATATATATATATATATATATATATATATTAAACTAATATATATTTGTATATATTAATTAGTTTGTATATATGTTTATTTTTTCGCGCGTTTTTTCTTAAATTTAAAAATGTTTAAATAATTGAATTTAAATAATTTAATATATATATAATATTATATTTTATAATAAATTAAAAAATTAATAGTTAAAATATATTAATAATTCAAATTAATACATATTGATATATATATATATATATATATATATATATATATATATATATATATTAATATATATTAATAAAATTAATATATATTTTATATTTATATATATTTTTTAAATTCAATATATTACATTATATATATATATATATTAGTAAAAATATAATTACTAGTCTAATATAAGTTGAAAAAAATATAATTAGTATGTATAATTTAAATCATTACATTCTCTAAATTTATCCACAATTGATATCATATGGGTAAATTGTAGTATTTGGTTTGGTATTTGGGTTGGTTGAGTGTATATCCTAATACCGTACACGAATGGAATAAAAATGGATATTAGGATATCCAATTTGAATTCGTTAAAATATTCGAGAATTTGAATTCATATTCAATTTGTATTCGATTCGTTTAGACTTTTCGAACATATTCAATTCTATTCCAAACTAGTAGATATCCTGTGCACATGCACATATGTACATAAAATATTATTTAGTAATATTTGAGAATTTAATATTAAAATTCTAGATAATGAACATATTGCATTTTCAAAAATTTGATCATTAGCAAAATTAAACTAACAATTTTATTACTATGAATAATTA